GATGGAAACTCGGCCTCCGTGAACACACGCTATCGAAACTGAATCGATTATTGGGAGGAAGCATGAAATATGAAGTATTCCCGTGACATCGTGTGCGCAATATGCAAAACGGTTTAGACACACTGAAGTTGGGAGTGCAGCCACATAGTCTAATGAGAGAGCTTATTCTTGACTAATTTCAGATAACACAAGAAATGTCTCAAAATCATCCAAAATAACGTCCAAGATGACTTGAAAAGTATCTTAGGATGTCCTGAACACATCTGAGACGATCTCAGGACATTTTGTGCTGTCTGCATAGAAAAAAATCTTAAATCAATGATAGATATTTTCATATATAAGCAAGAATATTATAATATTCTTAAAAGACCTCTTGAGTCTTGAATTAAGTACAAGTAATACTTGCATCAATACAAATTCAATCAGATCAATACTAAAAAACTTCTAATTCTAAGATTATAATATTGTTGCTTATATATGAGAATATCTATCATTGGACCATTGGCTGCGCTTTGAACTTCATTGGTTACTTTCCAGCAAGAGAAGTTCTGGTTATATCATCTATTATCCTTATCTTTACTAAATGCGAAATAAGGATGATGATATAATTAGACTTGTGTGTCGACTTGTCTCTCTTCCTGGAAACCATTGTGAAACCAAACCGTTTTGCTCCTTATTATACATTAGTTAGGACTTTCGGACACAAATTGCCATAATTATAAACATAAGATATAAATTTAGGCGGAAAAACTAATCAGAATATTTAGATTTATGTATTTCAGAAAAAATGGAACTCTCTCTCTCTCTCTCTCTTTGACGTTACATCTGATTATAAACATAAATAACTAGAATTCGACTGAGGTCCTATTCGGTTTAGAATTCAGTTGAGATCCTAGTTACACGGTTATTTATATCTTCTTCTAGAATATACAAATCTAAAGCAATATTCTCAGTTCTTCAGTTTAAGTTTACGTCTTATGTTTACAGTTACGGTAATTTGTGTGCGATAACCCTTATTGGGAAACACCCAAAGGACACGTCGACAGTAGGATAATTCCAAGCTAACGATACGAATATACTCCCAAGTTTTATACTTGACAGACTGGTCACTGGTAGACTTTGAGGTTTCAATGCTGCTGCTGCAGTCTGTGGATAATTTACCACGTTGAGTGTGATGCGGAGCGACGTGTTTGTGTCTCGTGTTGAGGAAATCGGTCAGTTTCGCGACGGATGAGTCGTGGACGTCCGAGACGGGAGCGTACATATCGCTCTGCGCAGAACTGAAATAAACGGCCACCATCGTGAATATGAGATAATCAGGATCTACTGTTTTATAGTTAATTTACTGAAAGTTCGTCAATTGTTCAATACTTGCAACTTCTTTGCGTACCTCAGCAGCACATGCTTTATCCAGCTTCTCCGGTCGACCGGGTTGGACAAGGTCATCCTGATTTTCTGCAATTTCCTCGGATTTAAACTGTAGATTTGATGCGGCAACGGCCACGTTCCGTACTGCATCTTGTACGTTAGAACGTTGACCTTCAATTCCAGATCCTGAATTTTGTATCCGACCTTATTCAGTATCCGTTTGTTGACAATAGGGTTCTGTACTATGCGCGGGCTTTTGCGGGACTTTGCGCAGAATAATATTGTGGAGAAAATGGTTATTGCTAATGCCTAGGGGGAGAGACAATCGACTTGCTTGAGGTTTCCGAAGGTACGAGATACGAATCATTCGGAATAATAAGATCTGTTCTTTTTAGCTGAACTGGTTTTTATGTACAAGCAAAAATATTATAATATTTTTAGAAGATTAGTCTTAAATTGAGTGCAAGTAATACTTACATCAATACAAATTCAATCAAATCTACTAGGCTACACTAGCTGACTGAAAACCTGTATCATTTCTTTTTTCTCTTTCTTTTACCAAATCTTAACAGTATATCTGTTTCTTTTCAAGTTTAATAAATGCTAATTCAGCAAAAAAAAAAAAGAAACAGATCTATAATGCACTGGAGAAAGGAGAGTGACGTTGTTTCTCATACCCATATCATTCCTTCCTGCGTGAAAAAGTCAACGACGTCGGACACTATTTCGAACCACAAGTAATTCGCCACCGCAGTCGCACATTCCTCCCAGCTTATCCTGCATGTTGTCCGCACACCTTCGAAATTTCCACCTGCAGGATTTCCATCTCCCGGATAACTCGAAAAGTTTGGTTGGAGTTAGATTTCCCTGACATGTCCAATACATCGATCCTAATCCATTAAGAGAGTAAGAGTGAGCTTACCGAGTTTCCATGGCATTTTCCAACTCGCGAGATGTCCGTCCGGGCAGTTATTAATGCGGATGGACGGTGCGTGTAAAGTTCGAGGAACTGTCAGTTGCTACATCTTCCGTTACCAATACATGTTCAACGCGGTAGGCGAAAGCTCCGATTACGCGCGTGGCAATTGTTATCGAAACGCCGAATCGAGGAATAGAAATCGGTTTTAATTTCAACAAGTTCAATTTCTGCGTGGAAAAAATGATTCCATTGGTGTAAGTGAATTATCCGCCGTCTGGGGGCCGGATAAAAAATCGATAAGAGAAACAGAAAGGTTCCTACTCGGGGATTTCTGCTCGGTAATTGCTCTCAATTGTCTCAACCGAGTTTTAATGTAGCTGAATGTTCACACGAATGTTCTCAGTGTGATAATAGAGATATATCATTTCTTGTCATCTAGTTTTCATCTGTCCCCTATCCAGTTGTAGAAACTGAGAATTTTTTCCATATGTAGGAGATGGTTCAATATTCTAAATACAGAAAAAGCAATTCCGTTGGAATTTTCTGTCGTCTGAAGACCAGACTCCGCCATCGATATCGAACATCAATTACATTACATCTATGTTATAATTTCGCATTCAATAATGTAAATATAATTCCTATAAGCGCGTAATATTTTATTTCAAAAAATATTCTAGACATATTCCTAGAATATTAGACATAACGTTTTATTAATATTCTAATAATATTATTTAATGTTATTATAATATTATACATATATATATATATATATATATATATATATATATATATAATAAAAATAAAATTAAAAAATAATAATATAAGAAATATATATATTTTTTTTAATTTATATGCATATTTTTTATATTATTTTTTTTAAATATTCTAAGACCATTTTTATAATCTGCCAAAAATATTATAAAAATATTATTTTAATATTCATATAATATTCTAGGAATATTATGCACTTATAGGTATATAACGCTGTATATATTATATTAGGTTGGGGAAAAAGAAATCCATTATTTTTACGTGAACTTCAAGACTTTATTTAACATGTTTTGGATTGTCCGATTCGGGTCAAATATGTACCGTTTTGTTTTATAATTTGTTGCCATTTTAAAGGTAGCTTCATAATGCCTCTCTCATAGAAGTCTTGGTCCCTATTGGCGAAAAACTCTAGTAATCGCTTTTCACAATCTTCTCTTGATGCCAATTTCTTATCACTAAGGAAGTTTTGCAATGCAAGAAAAACATGGTAATCGCTTGGTGCCGGACTATATGCTGGATGCATCAAAACTTCCCAACCAAGCTCCCGGAGTTTCTGGCGAGTCACTATAGACATGTGTGGCCTGGCGTTGTCCTGATGGAACACAACATCTCTCCTGTTGGCCAATTCTGGCCGTTTCTGGTCAATCGCTAGCTTCAAACGGTCCAGTTGTTGACAGTAGAAATCCGAATTTAGTATTTGGCCATATGGAAGCAACTCATAATAAATGATTCCTTTCCAGTCCCACCAAATGCACAGCAGAACCTTCCTGGCCGTTAGTCCTGGTTTGGCCACCGTTTGAGCTGCTTCACCGCGCTTTGACCACGATCGTTTTCGCACAATGTTGTCGTATGTAATCCATTTCTCATCCCCAGTCACCATCCGTTTAAGAAATGGGTCGATTTCATTCCGTTTGGCCAAGGCTTCGCAGATGGAAATTCGATCCATCATGTTTTTTTGTGTTAATTGGTGTGGCACCCAACATCGAGCTTCTTTTTGAATCCAGTTTTGTGCAAATGGTTTAAAACTGTTTTATGGTCGATCTTTAGCTCCTGGGCGATGCTACGACTGCTAACATGCCGTCGATTATTTCTGTGATTTTATCAACATTTTCGACGATGGGCCTACCTGTGCGAGGTGCATCTTTAACATCAAAAATACCTAAACGGAATCGACGGAACCAAAATTGCACGTAATTGGCTGTTACAGTATCGGCACCATAAACACCATTCACAATTACAGCCGCCTGGCTTGCATTTTCGCCTTTATCAAAGAAAAATTATAAAATATACCGAATTTTCTCTTTGTTGACTTTCATTTTTAACACCCTGTAACTCACAACTGAATGGACCAAACAAAAAACAACAAAAGAATTTTTTTAGTGCGAAATGTCACCTTTCCAACGAGCATAAATCTGAAATTGTTTGATCGATACTTTACGAGATATCGATCACTACAGCCATCTACGGAAAAAATAATGGATTTCTTTTTCCCCAACCTAATATTTATATTGTTGCGAAATTATAACATAGATGTTACGTAAATGGTGCTCGATGTCGACTGGGGCGGTTATAAAAATAGAAAGATTCCTGTAGGAAGTTTCTGCCCAATTAATTGTTTTCAGTAGTCTCAACCGAATTTCAATGCATCTGAATGTTCACACGAATGTTCACAGCCGCTGTAGCAGAGATATCGTTTCTTGTTATCGAGTTTTTATTTCGTCTTCAGCTACAGAAACGAAGTTTTCTACGTCGTATGAAACTTTTAATGTACACAAGTACATTAAAAATATGAAACAATCACTCTTACACGGTCTCTCCAAATATAAACCGAGTGAAATTACTCGCCAATACCAATCTTTGTTCCCGACACGTTATTAACACCTTATCTGACCATTATATCAGAATAATAACAGCATCCAATAATTCTGCACACCTTCCACAGGTTCTTGGAAAAGTACCTACGATCTCGATCGACAAGACAGACGGCTGCCAAATGTATCTGAGTGCGGAGTCTCTCAACGTCGAGCTCATCACCAGTAAATCTAGCGAAATGAACGTCATGGTTCCCAAGACCAACGGAGATTACGTGAGTGAGATCCTTCCGACTAATTCGGGCGAATACACTCTTTCTTTCGCAGTTCTCGGACGTCTACACAAACGTATGTGTCTCGTATTGCAGGCCGAATATCCCGTGCCGGAGCAATTTAAAACCACCATCAGCCAGAACGGTCTGAACACCACGGCTGTCGATTCGCTCGGCTAAGGGCGTGTCGAATCATGATTTACGCATAGCCTACGCATCTCTCCTTAACAACATAACTCACTAGAGGTATCGTCGTCCAAGAGACATCAATTTATTAATATTCTTATCATTATTATTTATTGTCTTCTTGTGGATAATGCGTAGCTAAGGGGGAAAAAAGGGCAGGTCCGATATACGTTTTGCTTGCGACGTGCGACGAAGTCACTTCGATCGTGTGTATCCAACGGACATTGGTGATGAGCTGTGCGCATAGAGACGCACTCGGTGATAAGCAGGCCAATGATAACGTATTCGCTGAAGTATCGCTTGAGAAATCTTACGTCATTTGTGGGAATGTCTTTCTGAAATTGTTAAAAATTCGTCGAAGGGGGAACGTGAATTCGACGATCGATTCACCCAGGTCGGAGACATCTTGAATCAAGATGATCGGTTTTCGCGAAGGAGAAGAAGAAAAAGTCGCTGAAAAAACGATCCTTTACCGACTGTAATATATACACGTACACCAGTATAGCGCGAAGTCTGGGTTATATCACGTGACGTTTCGTTTCTCAACATCTCCATGTGCGACCAGGCACTCGCATATCGAGATCAGGAGGGGGGAGACGTCGCGATGGTGTGTGTTGTGTCACGGTGTGGACAAAAGTTTTATCGTCTTCGATCATCGCTCTTTTATACATTTACACCGTTTTTCTATCGTACAAGAAGAACTTTTGCTCAAACCTGTCGTCGCACAGAACTCGCTATCTACAGACCGGGCGAAACGAGCGTACACACATATATATAGAGCTAGCAGGGAAACGGGATTACTAGGCCTCCGAGCGTTACTCGCGACTTGGTGTCAGACACCAATGTCATCAATAGTTCGATATTGCTGCTTCGCCTCTAAACTATCGCGCTGTCGAGTTCAGTATCGTACGACATTACCTGGAAACGGGGAGTTCCAATAATCGGCTACGTGAAAAATTAGGGATCTAACAACGCGGTTGCGCGATGTTTTTTAACGAGGGCGCACACACACACTCGTTAGTACTACTAGTATTACTTGAATAAAGCACAGCATTAAAACGGAGATGAGAATGCGCATCTGCGAACACACGGCGAAACAACACAGACAAACCGTCTTGGCATACCGTTTGTCCGTATCGCACAATTCATTGTAATAAACACGTAATTATTTAATCTAGAATATTTTTAACTTAACAATAGTATCGTGAAGAGAAACATCGTCATTTACATGCGTTTTCGTTTAAATGTCGATTATATACAATATAATCACTATTTTTCGTTATAGGTATAATTTTTGGTGATGAGTCTAATAAATCTAATAAAGTGAAGTTATATATACCATCCAGCGTGTTTTAACTTCTAAGATCTTCCCCTCTTCCCTTTCTCTCTCTCTCTCTCTCTCTCTCTCTCTCTCTCTCTCTCTCTCTCCTCTTTCAGCTGTCACATATACACCGCGACTGTAGCTTAACTACGGCGTCGTTCGTCCGATCGTAAAATTGGTGCAATAAAAAGATACAATTTTTACAAAAGAAATGTATTTATCGTGTCACATCGCGTTTTCTCGCGTGATCAATTTTTACATTATAATTTCACGTTGAATATATATACACATGCTACCGAGAACAAGTCGTGTTTTCTTATGTTGCGGCTTAAACTCATGTTCTATCAAGCTTAGCTAATTGATGCGAATGAAAGACTTGGTTGGAAGTCTATACAGCAACGATAAATGTTGCTTGTCTGTCGACCGGAGTAACTGATCCCAATATCGTGACGCAAAGAATCGCGACGTTTCAATCGAGAGATAACATTATTCGACTTTCAATCAAGGAACTAGATTATTTCATTATTTTCCGCACCTTGCTTTCGACCTTGCTTTCGAACCTATATAAATAACCTGGAAACGAGAGAATGCTGTTGTTTGACGCATTTATGGAGTAATCTAAGAGGAAGGATCGCACGCAACAAAGTCTCTGTCTAGCTTCGCTACTTAATGTACTTGAGATTCACTCTACTTTTACGCTGCGCATGCGCGTTGTCTCATCAATCAACATATGTTTTTAGATAGAAGGAACCGTCTATCACATCTTCTCAACCTTAATAAGACTATACATATTTATCGGATCACTCGTCGTCGTTGTCTAAGTAAGTCGCGTTCGCGCTTTTATTACATACGATATACATCGTGTCAGTCTTGTAATTATCGCGAAGTGGCGGGGCAATCTCGCTCGTCGCTACCGTCCGAGCATTCTAGAAATCCATTGCAAACGCGTGATTTCGGCAAGCACTCGCCGAGAGGGCATCTATGGCCTTTGCAAAATGCTACCGTGGACGGTCGGATATCCTTCTGCATGACAACACTGTCGATATAGTCAAGGAAATGAAAGATCTTCGTGTAAACGCCAGGTCGTTCACGTCGTCCGCATCCGTAACCGTTAGACGTGATACCTGTGAGAAAAATTTATTTCTCTCAAATTAAAAATTTACATATGTCCTCCATTTCGTCTAATAAGATATTATTTTCTATATTTATATATTATGTATATTTATATTAATTTTATTACAAATATTAATTTTATTATGCATAAAATACGATATTAATCGTTTTTAATAAGTGTTATCTAGTAAGCGTGAAACATTAGATCAATTGTTTGAAACATTGATTTTATGTGGATTTTATAAACATTTTGACATAATATTTTATAAATGTTTTCAAATTATTACTTGATAATATAATATTTCTAAATATTAAAATTATAGCGTAGAAATATTATTTTTAATGTTTCCATCAAATATCGTTAACGATGACATTATATCTAATATTAAAAACTACATATTTGAAAACGTTACAAGTTATAAAATATCATTGTAATAACGTTGTGATAAAGATTTCTTGCTTACATTAACAATAATATTTCTATACTACAATTTTAATATTTAGAAATATTATCAAATAACAGTTTAAAACATTTAATTATCTTAATAGACAATAGATAATAGCTTAAATAGATACATTTAATAGATGTTACCTTGCAATATATATCGATTTTCAGAGTTTAAGCACACCAGTGGTCCTCCGCTGTCTCCTAGGCAGGCGTCCCTTTCTCCGTTCCGTAATCCCGCACAGAGCATCCCCGACGTTATCCTGTATAACGGCAAGAACAGAGTTTTTCGCCGACAATCCTCCGTCGATATCACTGGTAATTCCACTTCTTGCAATGTGTCCGCTGTTAAATACAAGTAGCTGTGTTAGTGAGACACGTAATTCATCAGGTAATTATTGTCTTTATACTTTATTAATCGGAGCAAAAACGTAGTTCTAATCTCGCAAAGATTCATATGGACTTGGCCACACTTTGCGCACCTCACGTTCTGGCGCCCCTTGGCCCGATTTTCTTATAAAATCCGAAATAAGAATTGGCCAAACGCCAAAACGACGGAATTTATGTATATGGGTAATTCTTTTACAAACCGTACGGATTTTGATGAAAATTGACCGACATATCTCCGATTTGGCTGAAAGTTTTTTCACGAATTCTATATCGGAAAATAAGAGATACGTGTCCGAGGAATTTTTTTTCCCATAATTTCGATAATACAAGTGATCGAAAATTTGAGAATAGCGAGTTTTTTGGCTTGGAGACTCATTTTTTAAAATTTATAACTCCGGTTCTATTTGAGCTACAAACTTTTGTAGCTCATATATATATGTCATACTATTTCATATAGATAAACATATTTTGATATATTGTCTGCATCGTGACTAGCATAAGTTGCGTCCTCTTACAACAAGAATTTTCAGTAAATAAAAGAAGTCATCTGATACTGTGAAAATTGTGGCGATATTCTGATGTCATAAATATTGCTGCTTACAACTTGTCAGAGAGAGAACGCAATTAATCCGGAATTATTATAGTAATAAGAAGTCTATACTTTGATTAAAAATATAGCGCAATAAGTGAATACTTCTTAAAACAAGTATGTTTTAAGCGTGTTATGCTGTTGCAATGGCAATACAAAATATACATTAAATATTTGCATATTATATTCTGTACTTCTGTCTATCTGAGTTGTAACTATTATGTAGAATTATTTATGCGATTTTCGACCTTAAGCGTACATGCATAACATGCTCAAAATAGCATAACTTTCGAACTAAGAAATGATACGGCATATATGACGCCGATTGTATGTACTGTAATCATTCTACTTACGGAATACCCTGTTGATCTCGAATAATTGTCCCCATCCCGTTACGACGCAAACGGTTCCGGTATTTACCGGATTCGCGGGAAGACAGACCGGTCTTACATAGTCGCTGAATGTAACCGGCTGCTCGAGTCTCAGCACCGCTATGTCATTTACGAATCCGTTATCAACGTAATCCGGGTGTAACGATATGTAATCCAATCGCAAAAGCTGTTCATGAGGGCTGCGGAAACTCTCCCTGCGAGTCGCACCGATCCTCGCCACCCAATAATCGCTTTGCGCACTGCACAATGTGACAATGAGACTTTGATTAAATTGTTTCGTTAAGGAAGATTTTCATCAAATTCAGACTAAACCAATCGATGAATAATAATAAGTCGTCAATATAGGGCTTAGATATAATGAAAGGAAAAAAGAACAAAGAATTAAATTTCGACAACCTTGCTTCAATCTATAAAGAAACAAGGAATTACGATTAGAACATTGTCGAAATTCTATTCCTTATAACTTATGCTTATAGAGCTTAGTAGTTGACTAATAAAATCTAATGATCATCAATATATGAATGAAAATCAGTTTGAATAAATTTATAATTATCAAGAAAATGATAAAAGTGTTAATGATGACAGTAAAAAAGATTCATCAGAAAAAAAAAATATATATATAGCAAAAGTAGTAATCTCGTTTTAAAACGTTCTTATATCTTATTCTTTATTTCCTTTTATTATATTGTTAAAAATGATAACTTATTTCTAATATCTTATTCTTAATTTCCTATATTTAATTCTTTTCATTGTTCTTTATTCTTTCCATTGTGTTTGAGCCTTAAGAAATCATGCACAGAACTAATAATGCAATAAACTAAATCTTCACTTGACACATTAAGTCTAAATAAAAATTTAGTTTATTGTATTATTCTTTATAGCCTTATATTGACGATTTATTATTTTGGAATTTTTTTATTTGATTTACTTTGAATAATAATAAGAATTGTTGAAAAGTTCTGTAACTTTGTTGTGTCGCTCAACAATAAACTAAAAATTAATAATTTTTATTTGCGTTGGCTAGATAAAGTAGTTGATACCTTACTGACAGCAATTCCAAATCGATTAGATCAATTAGATTTAGTTAAATTTTTTTATGAAAGTCATCCTTAAATTACGTGTGAAGATGAATCAGTCATTGAGTGAAAATTTTACTGATAGAAGCAATGCGCTGCTGAGATAATCCATCGATCATTGATGAGAGCAGCGCCGCATTGATAGTTGCCATCCTTGTATAAGGCGACTTGCCATGGCCAGCTCCCTGCGGAACTGCTGGAACCTCCAACAATCCTGGAACGACGAAAAAAGGAGGATCTGCTTCAATACGAGTGGTGACAATGAAACGGTGGTGTAAACGTTTGAAGTATTATCATACATTTCAGAGTGATGAACACCGGGATTGTAGAAGAAAATATTAAAATACCCGTGCTTTCTGTTACACTTAGGAATATTAGGTATATTTGTTCGTTTTCGCTGCATCACTGAACTAGTGCAATAAGTTGAAGCGAGACAAGTATATGTTTTCTCATTGCAACTTATTGCGCTAGTTCAGCGATGCAGCGAAAACGAACAGACCTATTGATATCGAAAATTAATATCTTTCAAGAAAAGTTCAACGCTGAAGCGCCGAATTGAGAAACACAAAGAGGCCAAAATACCTCGCTGTCGAAGTCGCTTGACTCCTTATTCCGCACTCGAAATTCTTGCATTTCACTTTGAGGATCTCGCGACCTGGGCACTCGGACACTTTGAAAGACAAGGACGTTCTGTCCGACGATTTGTCGTTATGCGACAGAGAATAGTAGAAACGGTTTGGCGGCGGGTTTTGGTCCAACACTTTCTCCACTGTCTCGTAATCTCTGCGAACAAGTGAGGATTTCGTCAGTTTAGCTCGATAAATTCGCTTCATCTAGTAAAATCACAAAGGAATTTCCCGAGAAAATATGAGGAAGACACTTTAACATGAATTCACAATTAAAAGGAAGTGGATCAAATAAAAAAGAAAATTGGGATGTGAAGGATTTGCATATTACGATGATATTAAGAAACTTCTCTTCGATCGAAATAACGCGACAAACTGTTACAATTCCCAGACATTGGTACTTCTACCTTATACACTCCGATAAAATAAAAAAAAATGGTATGTCGCTACAACAGCCGCGATCAAGTTCTTATTGGCCGTTCTATCTCTTCTTGAAGTGAATGCGATTTTACTCACTGGTACGTAATGGCCTTGCACGCGGCTTTAGCGAGGTCTTCGATGGACCACACGGCGGTTTGCCGCTCCCGGAGAACGCTGTCCGTGTCGCTCAAACAAAGCTTCCCCCATTTGCCGTTTTTACGCACGTTGAGGTATCCATTATTGTTGTAGCTATCGATCTCCTCGCGAGAAACGGTAGCCGTCGCTATCGAGAAAGTATGATTGCTTTCGGTGCGTAAACCGCTACCGGAGGTTAAACTATTTCGATCCGAAGATGATATTTCTCTGCTGGACACCATGACTTTACCGTTCTCCTCAACGTCTCTGTTGACAAGCGTCGACTTGTCCGGATCAGCCGGCTCGGAGGACAAATCGCTCCGTTCATCCGTAAGCTTCTCGGAGCGTAGATCGCCGGAGAAGTCATACAGCGTGGTCGTGTCCACGATGGTCGACTCGACGGCTTCTTGATCGAAGTGAGGTACTTTCACAATTCGTTTTTCCGACCCGACGGAGTAGCCCGTCGAAATATTCCTCGTTGAGACGAGGACCTTCAGGTCTTCCTCTGGTTCGTCTTCTATCAGGGCGGTGCACTTCTTCTCGTCCTCGCCGCCAGCGCAATCGCTGAAACCGTCGCATACTTTATCCGGGTCGACGCAGGACTTCGTGTTACCGCACACGAATTGGCCTTTCTGGCACCAATCTGTCGTAAAATGAAATCAGACAGTGTAAGAAACGCAGAGAGAGAAATCCGGATAAAGTTTTAGTCAGTTGTTTCCATAAACATTCGAGTTAGAGGTGATCGAGGTTTGACTTTAAATAATAATTATTATTATTATAAGTAAACGAGAAAACAAAAAATTTTCACTTTGGAAAAATAATACAAAAACATTATGCTTGTATATATCTCATTAAGAGAAAAGTTTACAATTGTGAACAGCAGAAATATTTCACAAAACAGGAATCTACACGGAAGAAGAAGTTTGGTTAAATTTGCCTGACAATGAACAAGCCAAATGCGTTTTGGCCGAAGAAAATAGAATTTCTAGTTCTTATGAATCAAATTCGTTCTTTTAATCAGAAATTCTGTTTTCTTTCAATAAAACACGTTTAGTTTGTATATTGTCAAATAATCAGCCAAAAAATATAAATTCTTCTGTTACATCCTACGTACTTCACGGATAATGAATTTTTTTTATCTTACTATCTCTTCGTTCTCTTTATATTAGGAAACAGACACATTTGGCCGAGCGGCACGGTAATAAGATTAGGAACCTAGCCCAAAAAGGCCGACCAGACGTGGAAAGATGTTGGTTCATCATAAAACATAGACCCAAAATTTGCTCATGAGATTTCAATAATGCACCACCAAATACGTCTGTTGTTTCCCAAAACATCCGTCTGCGATTGGTATAAAGGAAAATGCCGCGACTAGCTATCGTTGCGCCATAGAGTCGGAAAGATCATACAATCCTAGAAAAACAAACCGCTCAACGTTCTAACTTGCCGTCATAAACTGACGCAACTCATCCTTACCTCCACATTTGAATCACGCCACATTTTTTTCCCTCTCTTTACAAAAAGGCGCGAAAATGCAACCATCTTTCCTCACCCTCTTCCGTGCTCTCTTATAAATTTGCCAGCATTCTAAAAAAATCTTATGATTTGCCACGTCCAACCTCCATCCATTTTTTCTCCCGAAGAAGGATACTCTCCTAAAAAACATAGGTCCCTCTTCTCATTCGTAGAAGTGGTCAATTTCTGTTTCCTACATCTCAAAGATTGTCACCATCTCGTACTCCTTCCTCTTAAAAACCCATTGCGAAACCTCCCACGTCTCCTTTCTACGCTGATTAATCTCATTGATAATCGTCATCTGCCAAAATTCTCCCTATAAAAACCCGACTTCCTTACCCCCTCGGGCATTCTCATCGCTACTTTTTCATCGGTATTACCAATCTGCTCATCGCAGTTACTATTTTGTTATCGCACGCGTTCACATATTCTATTCTAGATCAAGTTGGTCGGGAAGTCAGATACCCAGTCTCAGAGTTTCTTGCGTTATATTTTTTCATTTGTTACCGTCACAGTCATAGTTATGTTAGTTCTCATGTGTATATGTGCATTAGTATTTTGTAATAATTGTCCTACTTTATTTCATATTTATATACGATTTTTAATAATTTCATTCCAATCTTCAATCCCACTTTATTTTTTAAATATACACATACATCACAGCGTAATTATTATCTTCTTTATATTATATAATGTTGTTATTCTCACCATATCGATATGTTAAACATTCTCGTTACGTCAGATTCGGTCATATTACATTAAGTTATAAGGATTACTTTTACTTTTAATCTTCATCTTTTATTTCCATTATTCCAATAATGCTGATTTATAAAAATCCGTTTGATATTAAGCTATATTTCCTATTCTTTAACTTTAACTAACTGTTTCATCTTTTAAATATTGTATTTTTTACAATGACTTTTCTCATCAATTTATCAATTTATCACTATTGTTAATCCATGTGAGAAGCAAATTATGTTATTAGTATAATTAATAAACTCTTTTATTCGAAACGTCCCAAATTTAACTTAATTTGTTACATTTATTCATTCATTTTCTTTCAATTATTTCAATCAGAAATCCGCTTTCAACACTCTCATGGTCCTATCCCAAGTAAAGAGATTAAGTTCTTTGACCTAAATAAAGGACCACCAAACGTACGTTCTGCAATCGGAGTAAATAGGCCCTTCCAGACCTTGACCTGATCTACAGACCTGCAAGTACGTTTAGGCCTCGTGAGTGCACGAGTATGCAATGTTTGTTACGTACATCCTCTTCCAGGACGTAACACTTCTAAGCCTTCAGATGTACAATTAAGGAAAAGACAAAAATGTGCTAGTGAGGGCAATTTCTTAAATTCAATCGAGTTTTATTCGTGTATTTAATCTAACTCTAAAGATGACTTTCACTAAAATTAATCTAATTAATTTAATTGATGATTTAAAATTGCTGTCAGTCAATTGCCTCCTCTATCTTGTTAACATAGACAGAAATTATTATTTTTTTAATTATTGTTGAACTACAAGTTATAAAACTGGAAATTGGTGGAAATTGGAAATTTGTATTATTATTTATAAATTTTTTTAATCTGAGTTTAGTAAAAGTCATCCTTGAAATATTAAACTTCCTAGTCTCTCGCTGCAATCATCTTCTTTGATGATATCAGAAGCAAAAAACATATGTCCAAAATTCTTGCGAAATATGTTGAAAAAAAGAATAAAAGAATAATGTTTATAAAATGACATTATTTCGTCATGTTAATTTTACTATTTATTCATTAAAATAAAATATAAGAAACATATAAAAATAAAATAAAAAGTTAAAAGTAGAAAAAGAATAAAAATAAGATAAAAATCGAAAAATATTAAAACTAAAAAAAAAAGTTTTTTCGGAATATTTTACTTATATGCTCACAATCGATTGCAAGTATCATTTCATGAATACATCGTTTTATTTTAACATATTCCATGAGATTTTTAAGGCACACGTTCTCTTGCTTTCGATATCATTAAAAATCAAGGTGGCTACGGTGAAGAAACAGGAGCGTTAAATCGACAATAAATCATGCAATACCGCAATCACTCTCGTCGGAGTAGTCCCAACAGTCGACGATGCCATCGCAGATCTTGCGATACAGTAGCTGCGCCCTGAGAAAGTCGGCGCAAGTGCAGTTGGCCTCGTCCTCTGAGTTGGAGCATTCCACCAGCATGTTGCACATCGCGCTCGAGTCTAGACATTTGCCGTCTCTGCACAGGAAGCCGGTGCAATTATCTGCGAAAATACGAAGAAATATGGATCAGACCGGCTCTAAATTTCGCCCTAGCTCGAGGGAACCACGAAGAAGTCCAAGGTGAAATTGACAAGACTCACGGTCACCGGCGGCGGTCTTCGAGGTCGCTCGCGTCGTATCGGCTCGGTCCTCCAGCTTGTTCAACACCTTCGTGAATATCTCCACTCCGTCGCGACTCAGAGTGACTCCCGAGCTTGCGTTCTTCAGGATAGTCTCATTGCCGATCGCGATGTCCGCGATCTTCTTCAGCTCATCGATGTTTGGCGAAGACGCGTCGGGATCGCCCAAAAGCGGTCGCGAGGTCGCGTCATTGCTCGAACCGTTCCTCGCGATGTGTACGGACTCGCCGTTCGTCCTGATCTGAGCGAGTTGCTTGAGCTTCTCCAGCAGAATCCTGTTCTCCTCCTCGAGTGCTGATATCTTCCTGTCCGATGTCTGCATCGTCTTCAGGTTCATCGATGACGGAAGCGACGGTCGCGTTTGGTTCCATGCGGGAGCTACTTTTTCCGTCGTGCCGATGACGGCCGTGCCAAACGATCTGTTCTCTTCCTTGTCCTAGAGATGTCAATATCGAAGAAATATCGTGTTTGAATATATTCATCAATTTTTTAAGTCATATCGACACAAATTAACAAATTAACAATCGACATATTGAATAATTCTTATTTTTAATAAAAACTTAAAAAAACTTTATAACAATTTTTTGGTTTTTAGTACAATAAAAATCTCAGACAGCACAAATTTCCAAGGAACGTCCTATGAACGTCCTTAAAACATAGAACATTCTCTGGATGTCTTTAAGACAACTTTAGAACGTCCCCTGGAAGTTTGTGCTGTCATTTGTTTTCACAAGTTACTAGGACTCTCAGCAGGAATTTAATTTGTGTGAACGTTCGCGTGCGCGCCGTCTTTGTAGTGAACGGTCAGCTTCCGAGCCCTAATGAACCAACTATTTTTTTCTAATCTGGGGCATCCGGTAAAGTACAAAAGTAGTATCCTTTTCTTGCACAGAACACTGAGATCGTCAACAGGAATTTTTGTTAGTGTTGCTGAGTGCGCGTGCATGAACTTTGTCGATTACGAAGATCTTCAGGACACTCGTTATCAATAAACTATTTTTTTCTAACGTGTAACATTCCACTGAATGCAAAACTACTATCATTTGTTTGCACAAACCCTCAAGACTCTCGACAGGAATTTTAATTCCTGTGAATATCGCGCGCGCACGACAATCTTTTCCGTTTTTCTTGTTTATTTATATTAATATTGACACATTTTACATAATTTTTTTTTTATCTAGATTTTTGTTTTTTCAACTAGGTTACGCATGAAAAAAAAATTTTAATAATTTTTGCCCAAGGATCGCATACTTCATTCACGTAATAATATCAAATATTCGATAATTTGGTACATCAATAAACATCTCTACCTTGTCTGACGCGGAAGTCTTCTCCGAGCGAAGGACCGGCAGAGCGGTAGAATTGCCGACGATGAGCTTCAACACGATCGGATCGGCCTTGATGTTGGACGACACTTTGGTGCTAATGGAGGTCACGACCTCGACAATCTGTTCGATCACGTTTTTGCCGCTTGAGGGCTCTTCCTCGTTGGACTGTATCGCCTCGTGCGACGACAGCAGCCGCTCTGGAGTCGCCGTGGTGGATGACTCGGTCGTACTGCCTTCCACTGCGTCTCTCTCGTGCACTGTGTAATCACGCACACCGAACAGCTGCTCCAGCAAACCCGAGTCGTCCGAGTCGAGCTTCGGCCGCGGTCGCACCGGTCTACCGATTCCCGTATTGCTTTTGACCGGCGCCAACGTCACGAGGTTCTCCACCACGTAGGCCTTCAACGTATCGTTGTAGACCTTTTTCTGCAGCCCGTCCTCGTTGACCGCCGCCTCGCCCGCGTACGACGACTCCCAGGCCTCCTCCGACTCGCTCGGCGTATGCTTCACCGTGTCGATCTCCACGAACGTCGAGTTCCTCCTCGACACGCTTTTCTTACCTCCCGAGTCCTTGGCGGTCGGCTTCGCTTCCGAATAGACTTCCGTGGTGCTCAGCAACTCGTCGTTGTGCTCGTCCGTTGTCCGCACGATGTTCGAGTCCGTTGATGTGATCCGTGCGTAATGCGGCAGCTTAATCATTGCATCCTCGCCCTGATCCTGTCCTTTGACCAAGGTCTCCACCTTGACGACTCTTTCCAGGTTCGCTAATGACGCCCCGCTCTTGTCCCGAGACGATTCACCCGCATCGGTAGCAACGATGGAAACGTCCGGAAGAAATATGTCGCGCATGGGAAGGTCGCTGCTGTAATTCACGACGGACGTGATCTTGTCGACGGGTATCGTGTGTCTGAACGGCTTCATGGTCGCCGAATTCCTGATCAGGCTCGAGCCTATCAGACCACCGCCATTCAGATCGGGAGTGTTGTAGCTGGTGTAGACCGGCCTCTGCGCGTCAACGTCCACCTTCCTGTTTATAGGATTTCAAACGGATCTTAATAACTGGAAGACATCGACGAAATCGATTTTAAGATTCCTCTTTCCGCAGCCATCTTGACGACGTTAAAAGCGAGAAGATATGTGCCCAAGATTTTCACGAAATATGTTGAAGTAAAAAGGTATGTTCGTAAAAATGATACTTGTGATCGATTGTGGTCATTTGTAAGATATTTCGAAAATTTTTCTTTTACTTTAACTCTTAAATGCATAGTGTTGCAAATTTGCAACATATTTATTTTGTCGAGATCAAAGGCACACCTAAACGTGGAAGACCAAATTCTTCCTTAGAACGAAATATACAATCCAAAAGGCACAAAGGCAATTCTCAACATATACCTCAGATTTTTTTAAATATTTTTCTCATTTTCTGAGACTACCTATGAACCTAAAAAATAATAATTCAGTAATAAAAAAAATTCATGCATTTAAGAGTTAACAATTAATGAATAGATTTAAGAGTTAACAATTAATGAATAGCCGTAAAATTAACGTGACACAATCATGAGATAAGTGAAGAAGGTTGCATGTTATATTAATTTTACGGTTATTTATTAATTGTGATAGTAAAAGGAAAATTTTTTGAATATTTCATAAATGTGCTCAATCGATCGTAAGTGTCGTTTTATAGACATATCCTTGTGTTTCAATATATTTTGTCAGGATTTTGCGTCAGGATATGCGTTTTTTCGCTTTTGGCGTTATCAAATAAGACACTGCAGCGAGGGACCAGGAGCCTTAAAATTACGGGGTCCAAAAGTGTCCGTTCACTGAGAGAAATTATTTTCGTTACCAAGTGTATCTTGTTTAACCACAAAAATAGCAACATGCATGCAATATACATGTAAGATTATTATCACTGACACTATAGTGACAGATGCTTAATAAATACCAATTAATAACGTTACATCCATGTTATAATTTCAACTTAATTTTTCTTCGATAAAATTTTATAATATTCTTGAAAAGAGAGCATAAATTTTTCTTTTGAGTACGTGATAATATGAGCTTTCTTAAAACTTATAATGAACATATCTTGAGACTGTCAAGATCAAGAAAATATTCTTTGTTGAAGATAAATAGATTACTTAAAAGAAAGAAAATAAACTGAGTAATATTGCTTTTCTTGGCGATAGACTGATATTTTCCTGTATGTACTAAACAAATGGTTTTTCTGATTATAATTCTTTCGTTATGATGATTACATTTACAAATACCAAGTATTCTTCACTCGGTGTTACTTTTAACCAACAAATCGGCCGACTTGAACCCAAACAGAACGTAGATAAGATCGAAGGAATTATAAGTTCACCTGTTGCGCAACGCGTCTTCTTCTTCGTTCTTGCTCGTCGGCACGCCGCTGAAACGATTTTTCGTTTCCAGCTCGACCTCCGCATCCAGCATAGGCACCGCCACGCCAACACCGTTCGTGTCGGATGACTTGCTCGCGATCTCTTCGCCGGGACGCGAATCCATGTCGTCGATCCATATCGTCGTCGTCGTCGTCGATGCCAAGTTATCAAGTTTCACATCCGGCTGTCGAGTAGCGCTCGATTCCTTCCACTTGAACGAAGTGTTCTCCTTCGTTGACGTATTTTCGAGCGCTTGTCCAGTCGCCGAGATTCCCGAACTCGGAGTTACCTTGTCATTATCATCGCGTTTCGAAGAGGCCCTCAACCGGACGCTGTACGTTTCCGGAGGCAGCTGTCCGGCCACCTCGATCTCCAGGTCGCCGGCATCGTCCAGCCTGGACACCGTCGAACTCGGCACGACTCTGTCGCGCGGGAAATCCGCGTCGTCCGTGTCGAAGGTGCTCATACCGGGCACGTCGCGGAAGTTCAGCGATTCCAAAGACAATTCCGGCATCACCGGCGGCGTCGAGCTGGTTCCAGGTGCAGACACCTTCGCGTTGTCTCGAGGATCACTGGTGGTCGATGTGGAAACGGTGCCTCGCGTGCTCGATTCCGTGCGATTGTCGGGCAGCAGCTTGAATTCCGTGTTGACGTACGCCGGCACAATCGGCTTCCACGGCGAGGTCTCCAGGTCCGGGTTGCGGAAATCTTTGAAAATGTTCAGATCGCCTGGGGCAGTCGTGGTACTCGACGTGGTGGTCACCTTCGTAACGCTCGTAACTGGTCTTTCGTTCGACAGATCTTCGCTGAATGTGGCGCTCGTGGATTTCGTGGGAAACGTCGATGGCGCTCCCTTGGTGGTATCCTTGACGTCAGTAATAGACTCGGCCGTTCCATTCGTCGAATTCTCCGCGGTAACGTTAACTTTCGTCGCTCGGTAGGTGCCTTGGATAGTCGGGATGTTGTTAAAGTCTATGTCAGGCTCGCCGCTGTCGAGCCTAATGGGCTTCGTCTTCGGCTTTGAACCCGTGATCAAACTGCCGTTTCTATTCGGTCGCAGCAGACCGTTCTTGGTGATCATCGTGTGCTTCTGCTGCCCCTGCTTCGACGTGCCTTCCTGGTTTATTTCTTAAAGAACAAAAAATTAATGAAAATTAAAGGTCCGTTAGAAAATAACGGAGTTGAGCGAAACAACGCTGTGACGAGTACGGGATTCGACATAATTCTTCGGAAAAAATTCAATACTCGAGATGTGAAGTAGCTACTTACTTTTCACCGACACGCTCGTGAGATCCAGTTCCATGTCCTTGAAGAGAGACGATATCGAATATGTTTCCTTGGCGATGATGTCCTGTATAGTGTCCTCGATATTCGTGATTGAGCGCGGTATCTTCCTACGGTCGAGGTACAATCTGAAGAAGACTTTCAGGGTCCCGTTTTCGAACTTGTCTATCGTTGTTCGCTTGTAAGACGAACCAAGTACGCTTCTCCTAAATAGAAGCTCGAACTGGGAGGAACAGAAGAACCTGATTTAACAGCCCCGAAAGGCTTGACCTATTTCCATATCTTTTACGGTAAAACGGAAATATTTTCCACTTACGATATTTTTGAATTTACGCTCCTTTTCGCGGAAGACCATACTTGTGTTCAGTTTTAGCATAGGATTGTACCTTTCGCCCCTAGCTATCCTGAAGCTGCACGAAAATCCGATGATAACTGCAACGATTGACATATGAGATGTGCGATTTTGCGAAGAGTTTCGTTGCGCAACTTACGTATTATTACTATCATGCCAAAGCGGAAAACTCACCATTCTTGGAATCCGTTCGAAGGGCTGAAATATTATCAATTTTTATTAGTCATATTATATATATATATATATTTATATATATGTCTCTCTCTCTCTCTCTCTCTCTCAGGAACCAGAAATAAATGAAAATATCGCTCCGGTTCCGATTCCGGTTCACTATAATATTTAATAAAGGCTCCGGTTTCGGTTTTCTGGACAATGAAAGTACCGGTAAACCGTTTAAATTACGGTTCTTTTTCGGTTCTTTAAACTTGTTTCCTTATTGAAATTTTTATTGACATATATATAACATGTACAATAATATAATATAAAAAGTTACAATATCACTTCTTTGATGTAGATGGCATTTCTTCACTATTTCCATCTTCTGCTCTTAACATTTTGGATATATATTATCCTCGTTATTTATAATCTCTTTCTAACGGAACATCTAAATTATATAGATTCTAAGAATATTCGAAGAATATCTCGATATTTTCCAAGCTATCCAAGAATATATATATTCCGTATATATATATTCCGTATATACATATTCCGTCAGAATAATTTGTATAATTCAGGATGATTGTGTTTCTATTATCCCAAAATTGTAATATATTATTTCTTCTATTAATCCTCTTCTGTTCAATATCGTATGCTTGAAATTTATTTTCTATTTGTCGCGATAACTAATCAATGTTCTACTTTTTCATGAAAACGAAAATTTTATTATAAAATGAAAAAACGATTATTTAACATTACAGAATAAAAACCGAAATAGTGAACCGAAAAAAACCGCAAACCGAAAAAATATAACGGTTCTAATTTCGGTTCCGGTTCTGAAGGCTTTATAAAATTTCGGTACGATTTACGGTTCCGGTCCGATAAGAATACCGGTTTCCATACGGTTTTCGGTTTCAGTTCCAGTCCGGTCCGAATCCCTGATATATATATGTACATATATATATATGTGGGAACAAAAGTTAACCAGCCTGATAGAAAAAGCAGCGGTTGGCAAGGAGGAGGTGGCGCTAGTAGCAATAGGAATAATAGCAGGAAGCGTATGAAGAACGCGTGGAAGAAGCGGAGAAAAGGTTGTCAGGCTCCAGTCAAATACACATTCCTCATTTATCGTATTCAACTCGTATCTCTGAATAAAGATCCCACACATATATAAAAATAAAGGAATGAAATAAAGTAAAAATTGCAAGAACACTAATGTTCATATTTACAGAATTATTAACACTTGACATACCGCCCATCCACAGAGCTAATCCAGCTATCGCCAGTACCGCGACCAGCACTAACATCGCGTAAATAATTAACATGGCACTGCCAAACCTCCATGTCGTGTTATTATTCGTCCGTGCTGTCGACACCCTGGACCAGGTTGACCTCGGTGGCAGATAATAGTCGCTCTGCAACCAAATCGTAAAAGTTTCTCCTGAATTACTCTCAGTCGTCGTAAACGATCTTCTCTCCGCCGCGAAACGAATTCACCATGAAATCCCGCTGCTTCGAATTCATAATTCGACGTGCACAGAATACATTCGAGGTACTGATGATTCGAGGATGAAACTTAAGATGGATTCACACTATCCGTCTAAACTAGGCGATAGGCAAACATCCGTTAATTCTCCGTCGAAATATTCATTATTACTTTTGTATTATATTCGCAGTGACCGCATGGAAAAACAATTCCGTTGGTGTAACTGAATTTTTCGTTGCCTGTAGATCAGACGAAAACTCGATTGTGATAATAGAAAGATTCTGTTCAATTAATTGCTTTCAGTTGACTCAACTAGATTTTAATGCAGCTGATTGGTTATACCAATGTTCTTAGTCACGGTAACAGAGACATCATTTCTTATCACCGAGATTTAATCTGATTTTCTATTCTTGTGAGTGACATACGTTCTACCATATCACACAGGTTCTCAGCATGAGCAAGAAGTTTACTAATGGACTTACCGAACGTTTCTTTGGTCTGGCACGAGCTGTTAGACTTGGCTTCGCTGAATTACTTCGTTCTGATATTTCTTTGATATATTTTATGCGCTATATTATTGTTTTATTCCCTCAGGAAAATAGAGGAAGTGAAGAGTTTTAAATATTTGGGTTTCTCATTTAATATGAAGGAAATTATATTAATCAAATTAGGAAATTATATTAATCAAATTAGGGATCTAAGTAGAAAAGGAAAGGTAGCCGCAAGCAGAACGTGCGATATAGGTGAAAGGATATGTAGGAATGATTTTAGAAGATGGATACTTTTAAGGTATTTAGTACAAAGTGTGATAACTTATGGGGTGAAAATATGGGAGTGGGAAGAAAAAAAGGAACTGGAGAAGATTATGTTAAATTATGGGAGATGGGTTTTTAGATTATATTTGTGTACACCGAGATACTTAATTTTGAGAGAATTGGGCTTAGAAAAACTAAAAATTAAATGAGGAATTAGGGCATTGAGGTTCGAGGAAAAGGTCAAAGAGAAAGGAGAGAAAATTTGATATAGTTATGTTGGGCGAAGGAAGAAAATGTGGAAAAGAAGAGCTGTATAGCAGGAAAAAAGAAAAATATTATAATAGAGAAGATTGGAGTTTAAAGGCTGTGACTAAAAAAGAATGGAGAGATAAAGGCATAAATATAGAAGATAAGATTTTAGAAAGGGAAAGAGATATTCAAAGATAAACAGAAGAGAGCAAAATAAAGGAGGCGAAATATATTTCTGAATAGGAAAGGAATTTACATCATTTTAGAAA